GAGTAAAAATTCTCTCATGTCTTTAGATAACAAAAGTGACATTGCAACTTAATAAGCAAAATAAAATGCAAGGTGAGCAATTAGTGAAATAAAATGTAAAGTGCTTGTAACTTAAGTGGTTAAGAATAATTATCGTTGTACTTGAAGTTATGTGTTTGGTGTTTGAATTCGTCTATCCAAATATCACTTGTATAAAATAAAATAAAAATTGTTAACAAAGCAAAGCTAAAAGGCCCATGGCTTTTCAAGTACAAATTTTATGAATTAAATTTTCAGATTGGGCCAAGATTTGCTTAAAGAGAAAATCCAGTAAATGATGTAAGAGCATCCATATTGGGATGATGTATTTTCGAGAGTGTAAATCTACTTTTACATTCTCTTTATACTATTGTAAATACTATTTTTGCTATAGCAGGGAAGATGTAAATATAAAGATGTATAATTGATTTATTTCACCTGATGCGCTAACAGTAAAGCACGCTCGCTAGGAGGAGAGAGAGAGAGAGAGAGCGAAAAAGGCGCCTAACTGGTTCTGGTCGACACTCCTTCACCCCAAAAATCAAAATCCAAAGTTTCTAGGGCTTGATTACTAAAGTCAAATTGCAATCGACTTCGTTATACAATTTTTGTGCGGCCTTTAACTGATCGATGTCCAGTACCGTGGAGAAAATCTCAGGGGAGCTTCATATGAGGCCAGAGCTCCGCAAATCCTTCAACCTCCTGAAGACCCATGCGTCCAAAGTTGCCAATTTTACCCTCCAATGGCAGGACCTCGAGGAACACTTCCTCTCCATCGACAATTCCATCCAATCCAAACTCGACCAACTCCAAAAACAACAATCCAAAGAGACCCATCTCACTCCCACTCTGCAATCACAACCCAGTTTCAAAGAAACCGAATTGGATTTCCACGACAATTCTAAAGAAACCGAATTCAATCCAACTGACCCCCAACCGAGTTCCCGATCCGATTCTAAAGATACCCAACTCACTGCAACCCGCCAATCCTTGAAAACCCAATTCAATTTCGTCGAAACCCAAGTCAAAACCGGAGAGTCTTTACCAGAAAGTTCGAGTTGCAATGGTGTCCCAATACATGATGGCAAGGCATTGCTACTGTATTTGAATGAGCATTTGAAAGAAAGGGATTCGGTGCGTGATCTCATCGCAAATGCGCTTAAGGTTTCGGTGGACGCTGGGACGCTCGTGCTCGAGGCAGTAAGATGGTTTTATCCATCGGAGTCAACTAAGGGAGATGGGGACCTTGAACTCACTGTTGTTAGGAAAAGTTGTGTGCTTTTGTTAGAAGAGCTGATGAAAGTGAGACCTGTGATAAAACCTGAAATTAGTCAAGAGGCAATGAAGCTTGCATTGGTTTGGAAGGCAAAGGTGAGAGGTCAAACGACGAACTCTCTGGAGGTTTGGGGTTATTTGCAGCTTTTGGGTGCTTTTGGGTTGGTTGGTGAGTTTGACAGTGATGAGACTCTGAAGCTTGTTGGTTGCATAGCAGAGCGTAAATGGGCACCGGAGTTATTTAGGTCTCTTGGTTTCGCCAATAGAGCCTCTGGTGAGTTTTTGGAGAGCCTTTCTTATTGTTGTTTTTTTTCCATCTTTATTAGATATTTACTTTATGAATTGGTTTTGGTGGCCTTGATTATTTGTAGTTTTACTCTTAGAAATTGGATTATCCGTTGGTTATGGTGGAACTGTGTGGCATTTCTGTAAACAAAAGTATATATTTAATTTAAGTCTGGTTAATTTGAGTGCACCTTTCTAAACAAAATTATATAGATGTCACGTTCTAAGCGTTGATGTGATATTGTTTCTTTACAAAGACTTATTGTAGTTCTGTCCCCAAAAAAAAAAAAAAAAAAAAAAAAAAAAAACTTAAAAAAAAAAAAAAAAGACTTTAAAGAGGACAGTTCCTTATTTGATCACCCCACAATCCAGCATGGCCTGGCCATGAGACATACTTGTTGTATCATTTGGTGCTTTAGAGTTGTTGCAACTTGCAATGGCAGTTTTTGTTACCAAAATGGCGTCTTTACCTTTGTTCATGATTATGGTGTTTTAGTAACTCTCATCCCTTAATGAACATGTTATCAATAATGTAATGAGAAATTATTCACACCAAATATGAGATGTAAAGAAAATTTAAGAAGATTTTTCATACTTTACAGTTTCATTCTAAATGTGAATGATAATCTGTCCTCCAAGAGTTACAGCCCCAATTGTAGCATAAAAATTGGATATTCGTAGAGATATATATAGTTTTTCAATGGAAATGTTCTGATGTATATCTGTGGCTGAAGCAACAATTTTGTGAACATTTTTAGATCGAAACAAATGGAGCCTTGTTATTATTTGGAAACATGGTTTAGAAGCTTTTAATACGTGACAAATACTATGCATATTTGGAGTTTCCACTAGTCTTTGAGGAGTATCAAGTACATGGCTACAGGGAAAGAAAGTTTGTGGCACCTATGCTCTCGTTATTGTGGATGTCTTCTGTTATTAGCTGCTAGAAATTCTCCTATTGTCATTTTTCATTTCATTAATGTTTGTGATTCCTCGTCATTTTGGACCATTTGGCTGTTTTTATTTTATGACGGTAGTCTTGAACTAAGAAAATCTTTATTGTTTTTTTTTGCTACCTCTGTCAAACCTACAAATTTGTTTTGTCCTGTAGATTTTATCCAAAAGCTTGTATCAGAGAACAAGCGACTTGATGCTATTAGATTCATTCATGCATTTGAACAGCTTGACAAGTTCTCCCCTGTACCCCTGCTTAAAGAACATTTGAAGTTCGCCAAAAAGGATGTGAGTTGCAAGAGGGGGCAAGATCGTCTTAGTGCACAGGTATAGGTTTTGTTTCTTTTGCCTCTTCAACACTCCTTAGACTCAGATGAAACAGCCGTCTTTTATATACTGTATCTTATTAAATTAAACCCCATGCAGGATGAGGCCAGAGAGAAAGAAATAGTCGCCCTAAGAGGCATAATACGATGCATTGATGACTACAAGCTTCGCGTTGAACCACAATATTCTCCTGAAACCCTCAGAAAACGCATCACACAGCTGAGAAGGCAGAGAAAAGAGAGGAAAGCAACTCTAACAGCTCCTGGCCGCGAGACTCAGGTGCAACACCTGAGTGGAAAGAAACGTACTGCCCCTGATTCGAAGACTCAACCAAATAAGCAGAACAGAAATAAGCATCAGCGGACAGCTCCAGCTCCAGCTGCTCGAAATGCTTCTTTTAGAGAACCAGCCACAGTACATTCTGTACAGCCATCCTATCTTCGGCAAGTAGGCTTGTTTGAGAGTCGAGGTACAGAATACTTTTTAACATCAGCTGGAATGCCTGGACAAGCAACCACTCCTCCCAATACTGCATATGGAACCACTTCCACCTTTAACTCACTGCGAGCATCTCATCTTCAGCAAGGAGGCTCATTCTTAGGGCAAGGTGCAGAATACTCTGCTGGATACTATGATTCGGCACACTGCGCTCCTGATACTCATAATAACTTATCCGCTCGATCCTATGGTTTGGTGGGTTCCTCTCCTGTTACCCATACCCAGCACTTGACAGCTCGAGACTATGGGTTGAACTCAGCAATTGCGTCCTATGGACTGGAGGGCAGTAGTCATGCGTCCTCGCATATGAGTCCGTTAGCCACACGATATGGGACAAGCATAGCTGCAAATG